GAGGGAGGGAGGGAGGGAGGAAGGAAGGAAGAAAGGAAGAAAGGAAAGAAGAAATCCAAGGGCCTTGTATGCTGTGTTAAGAAGACAGTGGAAAGTCTACATTTGAGGCCACCCAGCAGTTTGGAAGATGGAACAGAGAAGGTGGAAATACCATGCCCATTCATCATCCCTACCTAGTGATTTTCCTCATCCTTGTAAGATCCATTCAGATGTTCCTTCTGCCTGGACTCCTCCCAGCCTCCAGCTGGCAGAGCTAACACAGTCTTCCCTGGCAAACCTCCTTGCATTCTCTGTGCACACTGCTCATAAATCTCTCACGGTGCTCAAGGCATTAGAATCTAATTATGTACAGACACATTTATCTTTCTGTGTTAATGCAGGAGTTGCTCAAGGTTGGGGCTTGTCTTATTCAGTCTAGATGAATGTGTGCTTAGTAAGGTGGCCACAGCGGGTCCTCAGGGAGTCTGACCAGTGAATGAGTAATTGAACAAATGACTCTTATGTGAGTGTTTGAATCTCAAAGTAGACCCATAAACCTATGTTTAGAGATTTCTTCCCTTGACAGCAGCAGGAGGAGGAAGTGGCAGAAGAGGTGGCAGTGGTTCCCCCAACCTTCACATCCCCCTCCACCTGACTCCTGGCCTCTCTCCATCCCTTTCCAGTAGATATCAGAGATTCTTCTAGATAGCAGATCTCCACGTCTTGTCTTCCCACTCTCTCCTCACCCTATTCCTCATCCGCTTCTGCCACTTCATGCCACCAACAACAACCCTAGGTCAATGAAACTGGTGAGCACTCTTAGTCCTCATTCCATCTGCCTTTTTGGCTTGAGCATTCACTGTTGACCGCTTCCTTCATCTTGAACCACTGCTCTGCCTGAACTTCCGTGCTACAGCACCCTTGGTTCTCTACCCATCTGTCTTGAGGCTTCCTCTCTGTTGATTTTACTGGCTAATCCTACCATACTCGCCCATTCAACACTGGAGTTCACAAAGCCTCATTCTAGGTCTCTTCTGCCAATCCCATACCCTCTTCCTCATCCATCTCATCAGCTTCAATGCCCACCTAGAATGAGATGACTCCAGAGACGCAAACTCTAATCCTGATCCCTTCTCAGAGCCCTGGGAGATGGAGACCAACACCACCTTGACTTTGTCCTTGGATGTCCCAAGGACCTTATATGCAATCTGTTCCAAACCATGCCTGTGGTCTCCACTTACCCAGTGAATCTGCTCACTGTGCTCCTCAGACCCTGGCTTTTTTCACGTCCTCAGCCCAGAATGCTCTTACCTTGCCCTTTTACCCAGGAAAATCTCCCCTCATTGTCCAGATCTCAGCACCATTGCCATTCCACAGGGAAGGCTTCCCTGAGTTTCTAAATGGATCAAATCCCCTACTGTATCATACACTTTTTCTTCATGCCACTTACCACAATCATTATTTCATGTTTGTTGATGCAATTATTTGGCAAAGTCCAACCTGTGCTCTAGTAAACAATAAGACCAAAGAACACAGGGGCTATATTGTTCATAATCACCTCTGTATCTCCAGACCAGGCAAATGGATGGTGTGCAATAAGCATCTATTGCTTCTGTTCTAGTAATAAAATAGTAATTAGGCAATAAATAAAAATAATTAGGCAATGATTTACTGAGCAGCAGGCTTTGAAATTTGCCTGACAGTTATTGCCCTATTTAATGTTTAAAATAGACTTTAATTCCCATCACTGTGTTTGCATACATACATGTGTGTCTATATATATACACAGAATTTACTATTATGTGTAAAATACTACATGCTATGTACCTAATACATACATATGCATGTTACATAGAACAACAGTAATATTTATCGTGTGTGTGTGTGTATTTGCTTTAAAATTGAGTTAGCCAAGTTAGCTAACTATAATGTGCCCAGACTGGGACTTGACCCTGTGTCCAGTATACTTTCCCCAATACAGGTCTTCTGGAACTGACTCCAGTATCATTTCTCCATCCATATCCCATACACAAAAGATGCACTGGACCTGCATAAGTATTTTCCCAGTATTATTGACTCAGAAATTCACAAATTTAAGTTGGACTGTTTTACATGACATGGACACATGCACATTTCTACTGCACAGGTGGTATGGAGAGAAATGTAGATGAAGTTGTAAAATGTGGCCCATCCTCTCTGTCAAAATGACTGTCCCTTTGGACTTGACATTGGTCCAGGACCACATGGCTACCACTACCCATTTGGAGACGATGCTTCCCCATGGAACGGAAGATGCAAACTCACCATTTTGACTGCAACGGTACGTGTCCAGCCTCCTGACTCCTTCCAACCACTTGTCTTTCCTTAGGGAAGAGTCAGCATCAAAGATACTTGCTTGTAGCCAGGATTCAGAGGCATTGAGGTCGAAGAGAGAAGAAAGGGAGCGACAGAACTTCCTTTTCTTTCTAAATATTCTGGGAAGATATGAAAGTAGCATGGTGGACAGTGAGCAGCAGTCCCTCTGGGTTAGAAACCAAGAGTGATCTGGTACCAAGTACACATCTGCAACCTAAGTCTGCACTTTCTGGAAGTTCCCCAAAATTCTACCGTGTGCCACATCCCAAGATCAATGTCAAGAATACTGAGTTAAAGGACCAAACTGTGTGTACACAATGTTCACAATCTATGGGAAAAAGATAAGAATAAAGCAGACACACCCAATGCTTTCATAGAGCTCATTCTGTGCCTGATGTCTTTCTAAGTGCTTTACATAAATTAACTGATACTATCCTCAGACAGCCCTGAGAGGTAGTTACAACTGCTGCCCCATTGTTCGGATCAGGAAAGAGAGACTTAGAGTAGTCAGGTCACTGACTGAGATCATCCAGCTCGTAACTGACCTGGCTGGGATACAAACCCAGACAGTCTAGCTCCAGCAATTGTTGTTGGTTGCCATGTTCTGGAGGGAGTATGGGCTTGGGAAAAGTTCCGTGAGGGTTGCTCTGAGAGCCCTAGCAAAGGCATTGCCAGTTGAGTGAGAGAGAAGGCTTTCTGGAATAAGTGCCTGGGAAGAACAAGTAGGTCTCACACTGGGTCATGTTAGGAAATGACACTGGAAAAGGAAAATGGGCAGATAAAGAACAACTTTGTGGGGCCAGTGCTGTGGTCTAGCAAGTAAAGCCACTGCCTGCAGTACTGGCATCCCATATGGGCACTGGTTCGAGTCCTGGCTGCTCCACTTCCAATCCAGCTCTCTGCTGTGGCCTGGGGAAGTAGTAGAGGATGACCCAAGTTCTTGGGCCTCTGCTCCCATGTGGGAGACCCAGGAGAAGCTCCTGGCTCCTGGCTTCGGATCAGCACAGTTCCAGCCATTGTGGCCAACTGGGGAGTGAACCAGCAGATGGAAGACCTCTCTCTCTCTGCCTCTCCTTCTCTCTGTGTAACTCTGACTTTCAAATAAATAAATAAATCTTAAAAAAAAAAAACAACCTTGTGTATCACGTGGAGGAGAGAGGATTTCATGTTAGAACAAAGGGAGACCACTGAAGCATGCCAACGGGAAAAGTACCATGGCAACATGACTTGGTTTGTTTGTCCAAAAGATCCTTGACCTTGGAGGATGACTTCAAGGGGCTGGATTGAGGGCACACAGGCCATTCAAAGTATAACTAAAAGGTGCATCCGCCTTTTGCTAAGCGTGTTATGCTGAAGGCCTAACTGAAGCCATGCCATGCAAAGAGGAACTGGGATAGTTTTAGCCTCACAAAGTTCTGCAAGGTCACCTACATGTGCAATCAGAGCTCCATTTTGAGTTGTTTCCTTTGGTGTTTAAATGGATTACAGCAAGATTTGTATATTCATTCCCCCAGTGGAGCTCAGCCAGGGTGATTTCAGGTCCAGGGGACATTTGGCAGTTTCTAAAGATATTTTTTCTAAATGTCAGCCAGAAAAGGGGTACTGTTGGTATACAGTGGATAGAGGCCAGAGATGCTGTCAATCATTCTGTCATGCACAGGACAGATATCCACAGTAAAGAATTATTCATGTCTTCCTTCCCTTCCCTTCCCCATCAGTAGGGACAAGGCAGATTTCTCTGACTCTCACTCCAGGTTTTCCATCTGACTTGAAATGATCAATGAGACATTATCAGGCTGATGCACACAGAAGCTTGAGGTGCACTTGTGTGGAGGTATGTCCTCTGGCATTTATGTGACTATGACAGGGAGAACATTCTTGATGTGATCTGCAGGTTGTAAGAGAATGCCATAAGGGGAGCAGACATAAGACCAAACTGAGGCCAAGCTTAACCCAAAGTATATGAGATCAAATCAAGTTACCCCAGCTGACTTCCAAACAAGTCTTATGTGTTATGAAGACTTTGCAGTTGCTTATTTTTTATGCAGAATTATTGTGTCAAGAAGTGACTGGTATAGTCAGCATTTGGGTGGTTTAAAACAAAGAGCAATAGATGAGATTACTCGAATTCATTGATCCAAAGTGAACTCAGTCATCTTTTTTTTTCTCCAAACAGGCCCCTACCTTTTCTCTGATCTTGGTAAATGGTCCCACTATACATGCAGTTGACAAAGACGGAGTCCTAAGTTTCACACAAGTGCTGTTCCTTTGCTGGAACTCCAACATCCAGACAATGATCACATCCTGCCTCTTCACCATCCCTCTCATCTGTACGCCCCTCCACACTTTCATCCTTGCTACTGCTGTTTTATTTCAATGCACGGATACCCTGTCTCCAATTTTTCCCACTCTATTCACTCTCTACTCACATATCCATGTTATCTACAATCCATCTTCTGCATTCTTATCCCTGCTGTTTTCCTAAGAGTAAACCTGATACTTTGTCAAAGGCCCTTCTTTTTCTACTGAATAGATCCCAAACTCCTTAACCTGACATTTAACTCCCTCCACCCAGCCCCTGCCTTTTTACTCAGTCTCCTTTCTGGCAGACTGCCACTGTAACTTGCGCCCCTATCAGACTCTTCGCTATTCCCTTTAATTACATCAGTGTCTCAGAAGCCCATGCCTGCTCCCTCTGTCCAAAAGCCCCCCTTTTTGCATTTATTTTCATTAACATCCTGCATCTTTGAAGACTCCAATCAGTCATCACCAACTCCAGGAAGCTACTTTCTGTCTGTTCCTCTATTCTCCCTTGTTTTTCCCTCCTATCCCAATTTCTAGCCCTGCCTCTGTGTCACGTCAGGACTTCTGCTTATTTCCATGTCAACTATTCTTTCTGCTTATCTCCCCTTGTATTTCCACAGTCTGGAGCAATAATGGTCTCCTTGTAAGTGCTTGTGGGATGAGCGAATGAATGAATGAATGAATGAAAGAAAAGCTAATGGATGGATTGGACTGAAGCTTCCTTTATGCAGTAGCCTCTACTTACCTAACCAAGTTCTCCTTGTACATAACACTGGTCTGGGATGGGTTCAGAGTTATGTTGCCATCTTTGTCACTGTGGAAACTGTCTTCTGTCCAAATGTAGTAGCCATTGGTGAGGAGCCTGGGACTTCGGCGACAGGTGTAGTAGGAGCCCGTCAGGGGGTCTGTGGAGCAGCATTTAAAGGAACTCTCACCATCCAGGAAATCACAGGAAAGACTAATGAAAGGAAAATGAAGAATCCTCCAAATATCCAGTACAGCCAGTCACACAAAAACCACGTTCTGGTTACTGCAATGGGAAACAACTTTGTATTCCTGACTGTCAGTGACTTCTTCAGCCCTGAAAGCCGTCACTCTACTTCTTGGGCTTCATCTGCCTCATGACATTCCTGAATTCCAGTGTCTTTTCTGTTTTCAATTTCAGGGAAGTTGAAACAACCTCTTCACCACCCAATGAGCCTGCAGTCTTGACAAAACTGCAAAACAGATTTTCTATAATGTTGGAAGCTCATCGTCCCTTCTTCCCCTTACTCTGAATACTCTCCAATTTCCACATCATCATTCTTGAGATATAATAGGAAAAGTATAACTATGTAGTTACCAGAAGCAGGCAAGATATGGGATGAACACGCAGGCAGAGTTCTTTATGGCCTTTGCAAAGTCCCCCCATAGCGTGGCTGCACAAATGGTCACTGGTTTCCTCCCCTGACTTGGTACCCAGAGCATCTTGTGCTTCTCTTGCTAAGATTTGTGAGGCTTGGGTATATAAAACAAGTACATGCCCATATGACTGAAAGGCAACCAAAGCTATGCAGGTGTTCTAGAAATTTAGAATTTCTTGGCATGAGGAATGTTGGAGCTTGGTGACAATAGCAACAGAGCCACAGTGGAGAAAAGAATACGGGATTTGACCAGGCAAAACTACTGGCTTTCTCTATCCTCTCCCACAAAAACTTGGGATTTTTCTTTGTCCCAAATCCTGATTCATTTCAGTGTTTGTGTGTATGCCTGTCTGCCTCCATAATTATTTTAGAAATGGTCATTTTCCCATTCAATTATTGTTTATAGCCATTGCCTATATTTCCACTAAACTAGGGTCCTTTTGCTTTTTAGTTTTTAAACTTCTTATTTGGTGGAGTATTAAGTAATGTAAATTTAAAGTATGTCATCTCAAAAACTAAAAATAAATAAATAAATAGAGAAGGAAGGCAGGTGGGAGAGAGGAAGGGAATATCATTGGTTTCCTAGAATTGTACCTACAGATCACATTGTATCATTAAAAGCTAATTAAAAATTAAAAGAGAAAAGAACTTTCTGGAGGGCAGGAGCTGTGTGTCTAATTGATGTTCAGTATGTTCATAAGTGCAATACCAGCTGCTGGATGACAGCACCTAGAGGCTTTGGAAATCTGACCTTAAAACACAGTGACTGAGTACATGTGTGTGTCAAGGGGCAGTGATGTCATCAGTCAGCATCCCTGGTAACAAACCCCATGAGCTCTTCACCTGGATGTTAACAAGGGACTTACACACATTTCTCCATGAGAAGATTATGCCTCCAGACAACCTCAGGGTGAAAGACTCAGAAGAGATCAAGTAAGAATCTACACCTCTTACCTTCTGTGTTAGTGCTCTTTCCCCTACTGTTCTGGCTCCTTAAGAATTAATGGGGGTTATGCATTTAGCCTAGAGGTTTAAATGCCAGTGAAGAGGACTGCATGCCACGTTGGAATGTCTGGGTTTGATGTTCCTCTCTGGCTCTCGACTCCAGTTTCCTGCCTCCCCCAGGGAGGCAGTGGTGATGGTTCAAGTAATTGGGTCCCTGCCACCACATAGGAGACTTGGATTTAGTTCCCTTCTCTCAGCCTCAGCTGTCACAGGCACGTGTGGAGTTAGTTAGCAGATAGAAATTCATTTTCTCTCTCTTTCTCTTTCTTTCTTTCTCTCTCTCTCTCTTTCTGCCTCTCAAATGAATAAATTTTAAAAAATTAGTGGGGTAATTGCATGTATAATGTGTCAGACAAGTAGGAGTTTACAGAGATATGGCCCTGCATTTCCACCCACATTCCAGTTTCAGAAGTCTCAACATTCAACAATTTTCACTTGGAGTCTCTCCAACCTTCAGCCATCTTTCCTTTCCAATGCCCTTAACTTTATCCTCCCGTGGTTGTAACCACTATGGGGACACTCTTCCAACCTCCGGATTATGGTAAAAACAAATATTCTTCCCCAACAATATCAAGCATAATAAATGGATAACAAGCTTATCCCTAGACATTGACTTCCTTCAATTCTGCTGTGCAAATTCTAACAGCTGATTAATTTTACCAGGTCCCTTCCAATTGTTCTCAGAAACCCAACCCCATACCAAAGCACAGCAACTTGCTTAATTGCCCAAAGAAAAAGTCCTTTCTTGTCCTGTGAGGTGACTAACAGACCTTGGAACAGTCTAAAGTTCATGGCCCCAGGACAGGATAAAGATGGGTTGGTGAAGAAAGAAACCCTATCACAGGGCTGGCGCCATGGCTCACTTGGCTAATCCTCCGCCTGTGGTGCCAGCATCCCATATGGGCACTGAGTTCTAGTCCCGGTTGCTTCACTTCCAGTCAAGCTCTCTGCTCTGGCCCAGAAAGGCAGTGGAGGATGGACCAAGTATTTGGGCTCCTGCACCCGCATGGGAGAGCAGGAAGAAGCACCTGACTCCTGGCTTTGGATTGGCGCAGCGCCAGCCATGGCAGCCATTTGGGGAGTGAACCAACGGAAGGAACACCTTTCTCTCTGTCTCTCTCTCTCTCTCTCTCACTGTCTGTAACTCTACCTGTCAAATAAAAAAAAAAAAAGAAAGAAACCCCGTCACAATCTTTAACAAAATTCAGACAGTTGCTCATAAATGGATAGATTATAAAATGTCTCTCACCCTTCCACACATTTCCCTCGTGCTCTACTGAATTTCTTATCTGTTTGCAAAATCAAAGACCAATGCACAAGTTAACAGACGCACTCAAGTTAATAATAAAGTACGTTTTAAATGGGTATCATTTATTGAGCGCTTTCCCGTAAGTCTGACCTCATGCTCTACTCTTTATCGACTCTTCACGAGTCTCTGCAGAAGCTAAGCCTTAGTATTATCGTCATTGTACAGAAGGGAAAAACTGAGAGCAAATTAGTTGGATCTTTTATGCAGCTATTGGGTGTCAGAGCTGATATATGAACTCCGGTCACTGTGACTCCACAGTATGTGCTTTTGTTTGTGTTTTGCTGACTCACTTGGGAATATGAGGAGGCCTGGGCTTTACAAGAAAGGACAGGTTCTGCTACAATCGCCTGATGTCTTTACATTCCAAGCACATGACACAAAATACGGGGTGGGGGGCCCTCAACTGCTGCCTGCATACAGGATGAGAGAGAAATCAGAAGACTGGAAGGAGGAAAAGACAAGCGACTCCACGTGGATTCAATGCTTGAATGAAATGGTAGATTCCACATGGGTGAGTGGAGCACCAAATTCAGCCAGCTTGTGTGCTGTTGTATAAGCCTGTGGCTCCTGAAAAATGAGCTAGGAAAGGATATTTAAGAGAAAATCAGGGGCCAGCGCCATGGCTGACTTGGTTAATCCTCCGCCTGTGGTGCCAGCATCCCATATGGGCACCGGGTTCTAGTCCCGGTTGCTCTTCTTCCAGTCCAGCTCTGTGCTGTGGCCTGGGAGTGCAGTGGAGGATGGCCCAAGTGCTTGGGCCCTGCACCTGCATAGGAGACCAGGAGGAAGCTCCTGGCTCCTGGCCTCGGATTGGTGCAGCACACTGGCCGTAACGGCCATTTGGGGGTGAACCAACAGAAGGAAGACCTTTCTCTCTGTCTCTCTCTCTCACTAACTCTGCCTGTCAAAAAAAAAAAAAAAAAAAGAGAGAGAGAGAGAGAGAAAATCAATTTGAGCAAAAGTAACTACCCATTAGTACCCAGTTGTTCGCAGTTACCTGCACACTTTTAGCCAGAGAGTCACAGCCCATTACTGAATGAGGCACATTTCTGTTGTGTATGTGCCATGGGAAAGAAGCTATGTAACTCTACCAACATGGGATGTGAGCTAAAAGAATGGTTTTGTATCAGCACAAAATAAAACACACAGGAAGAGAAGTGATCGCTTTTTCTTGAGAAAAGCCTCATACATACCTGGGGGGAATGCACGTAGGAGACAGCTCTCCAGCAAACCCTGTCTCTGACTTCGAAGCACCTGCAGAAGCCAAGGAGAGAGAAGCAGAAACATCTCACATCCATGACCGCCAAGAGTGGAATCCTCTATGAAGGCATGGACAGCGACACCCCAGCCTCAGCCAGAAGACACGAGCAAGGGTAGCACCCAGGGAATGGGCCCACTCAACTTGGCACCAGGTCTCAGAGGGAAGCAAGGGATAACCTAGGGCTGGTGTCACTGTTCCCTTCCTAGGTACAGGATTCTTTCACAGGCTCCTTAGCACAGGACGAGGCAACAATAAATCATTAGCATCAAACAGAGCTCATGATAAGGGGGAGAACACATCTAGGGGGAAGCTGTGGTTACTGTAGCTTACTCAGTAATCTAAGGGACTCAGTTATAGTCCCAGACTCTCCCTCATCAGGGCTGTTTAAGACACATCTACTGTCCGATAATGAGCAGAAGACATTAGAGGGGAAAAGTTTTGTTTGATTTTATGTTATATGTGAAGTCTTCTCAAATTTTTAAAAATTTTGTTTATTTATTTTCATTTGTATTTGAAAAGCAGAGTAAGAGAAAGAGAGAAAGAGAGAGAAAAAAAGAGAGAGAGATCTCCCATCTGCCACTCCCCAAATGCCCTCAACAATTAGGACTGGGCCATGCCAAAGTTAGGAGCTTAGAACTCAGTCAGATTCTCCCATGTGGATGGCAGGGACACAAGTACTTGGGCCACCATCTGCTGCATCCCAGGGAGCATATCAGCTAGAAATTGGATTTTAAGAAGCCAGCGTTTTGTCGTAGGGGGTTAAGTCACCGCCTGCAATGCTGGCATCCCATATGGGGACCAGTTTGTGTTCGGGCTGGTTGGTTTCTGATCCTGCTCCCTTCTAATGTGCCTGGGAAAGCAGCAGAGGATGGCCCAAGTGCTTGGGCACCTGCATCCATGTAGGAGACCTGGAAGAAGCTCCTGGCTTCTGCCTAGCCCTGCTCTGGCCTTTGTGGCCATTTGGGGAGTGAACCAGCAAATGGAAGATCTCTCTGTGTGTGTATGTGTGTGTGTGTATGTGTAATTCTGACTTATAAATAAAATAAGTCTTTTAAAAAAAGAAACTGGATTTTAAGTGCAGGAACCAAGACTCAAATTAGGTACTCTAATATGGAATACAGGTGTCCCAAGCAGCAACTTTGACTGTGTGCCAAACACCCACCTGTCAGTATTCTTAATTTTAAAAAGAGAAAGATCCACTCATTCACTCTCATTAAATCAAAGGCATAGCAACAGACTTCACGTGGGGACCATTGCAGTTGGTTAATATTCTAAAACAGAACTGTACAATGTTCAGCAGTGGTGTCAATACTTCTGTTAGGCAGGCTCAGTGAAACTTGATTCCATCACTGAAAATATCTAAGTCTTAGATTCTAAGACAAAGAAAGCGATTTAGACTTACAAATTAGACTGGATGATTTGTAGGGAGACAATTCTGAATGTGTGAGGGAGGGTTAGAAGTAGGGTTTGGGGAAAATAACAAGAGGAAGGAAGAAACTTGAAACCACTACCGTTTCAACAACGCCCTTATTTTCTGCAAGTAGCTATCAAAATCATTCAGCATTTTTTAGACACAAACAGTTTTGCATCTTAATAGTAGCTGATAAACAATCTCCTTTCACATTTATGCACAGGCATCTAAAAAAAACAGTGATTTTTTTTTCTACTAAAAGGAAAAATATCACATTTCTCTCAAGGAAAGAAATGAAGTCAAAATCATTGCCAACGTGAACACTGGCATTTAAGAAACACAAGCTACTGACAGATGGTTAATGGTCTGAGTATCAGCAAAATCAAAGCAAGGAAATTGCTAAACGGAGTCTAATCGTTCAAAAGATAATTGCATATAGCAGTTCTCTCACATTTACTTGCTGCTGGCGTTGACATCAGATGAGTTACTCGGTGCATCTTTGGAAGGCCGTTTGTTCAAACTTCACAGATTTTCTGCAAAAGACGTTAAAAAAAGGTGGACTATATATTAAAAATAGAAAAAATGATGCCAAACAGATGGCATCTACTAATTGCACTAGTCAGATTTGTTTACCGAAGTAATAGAGAGAGATAGGCTTGAGCGCAAGAGACCAGATTGCAGGACTTCACTCAAAGTGTGTCTGCTTCTAAGATTTTGTCTTACATTTTCCATTGTCTCACTTGGTGCATTTAAATAATATCCTCCCTTTATAAATAAAGACATCGTTGTATTTGGGAACACTAGACTCACAATGGTTGATTTGTAATTCAAATAAAAATAATGAGTGAGTTCGTTGATTAAGAAATCTGGAAAAACTACCAGCTCTAGAGCCCTCCAAACAAACATATTTATATTTTAATCATGCACCACAAATCAACCCCATTATCAAGTTTCAGACAGCGCTTTGGCACTCATGTCTGTCTTTGGCCCAACAGCTTGAACCATTGACAGGTAGTCACAGAGACAGTCAGTGCAATTGTTATCAGCCTAGACATTCCAAAAACAGCATAATCAGTGTTACACTAAAAATAGTGTGCCATTGGACAGTGCCTACAAACTCAGTTCCCATGAAGAGTTAGTTTACTCTCTCAATTACAAATTAGCAATAGCAAAGTACGTACATTATGCCAGCCTTAGTCATTTAGCTCTCATCCCATAATTCTACCTTCAGTAGACTGTTGGATTTTGTACTCGTATTTACCACTACTCCAGCAGCTTTATAAGGTAAGACTAAGTTATTTCTGATTTGCCAACGCTAACCACACTTTGTAATATAATAATGAGCAATGGATTGCTTTTGTAGCTGTAATACAATGAATCAAACCACACTCATTCTATAGCTCCAAATTACTTCAATCAACTGTATATAATCTATATTAGCACACAGAGAAACCTACTTATAAAGACCTTTCAAGATGTCAGAAGAACTTGCTGGCATTCCTTGGAAGATTTCTGAATCAAAGCACACATTTACAGATTCTGTTTGTTTGGAATATAAAATAATATTATTTACAATATAATATATTAGTCTGCCCCCTGCCCTTTGCATTCTTGCTGCATAAGAGTGTGCCCAGCCCAAATTACTCTGCTAGTTTTTCCCAAGAGTTAAATTAGTTTTAAGCCAAGAACTTCTGCAGCAGACAGCAAGTTATTATTATATCTTACAACTGCTTGTGGCTGTCACAGGCAGTAAACTGACAGTTAGCTGAGAATTAGTAACAGAAAAAAAGGCTGCAGACACAATTCGAGAACTTTTCAAGAAACACACGCTCTCTATCTACCAGTTCCACCAAAGCAACACATCTGTTCTGAAAAATAATGTTCCCACACACATTCCTTCCAAAGGGAGATCCCTGTCTCTTCTTCCAGTTGACAAATGCCAAAAATAATTACTGAAGTGTGCAGCTTCCTGTGGTCGGCAGCGGAGAAACCGAGGACTGAGCCGATCTTCAGTCGAAAACTGGATGTCACAAAGTCAACAGGTGCAGAACCCCGCGATAAAGGGAACCCCTTCCTCCCTTCTACCCAGATCACCGTGTGCAGGCATTTGCAGAGAAGTTGTCTTCTGCAGCCCGGCCCCTGTCCTTTGGAAGGTTTCTTAGAACAGAGACTCAAGTGCGTAGTTCTGGGGAGAGTCAGCCTTCCCACCCTCTTGTTTTCTTTCAAAATCAGCCTGCGAAACCAGAGGCAGAGAAGCAGAATGAGGTCACACTTCCTGCCGGGCTCCCACCAGAGGCGCTCACGGAGAAGCTTGGTGAAGAGTTAAGAGAGGCTCCCGGATCTGCAGCCCAGGACGTGCAGCCCATGAGTCAGGCCAGCCGGGCTCGCCATGGTTGCTGGAGGGACGCGTTTACGAGCCAACTCAACACCCCCAGTGGCAAGAACATGAGAAAATCTCCCAGTGAAGTGATACTTCCTGCTCAACATCTTCTGGTCACACTTGACTATGAGTAGTACAGAGGAGGGCTTTTGCCCAAGCCACTTAGATTTAAGGCATGGACACTCTTACATTCAGAATCCTGGCAAATAACAGGAGCTGGATCTTATGAAAATATCTCTAGTGGCACCATACTGATTTACCAAACTTTGGACATCCCCCCTCACAAAAAAAAAAAAATTCTATGGGTGGTATTTTAACTTTATATTATAGGAAAGCTCAAAGAACTTGACGCTTTTTGTAGCTCCCTACATATCTGCTATGACAATCAAAGAAACTCATTTTCTAGCAATATAGAGATAGCTTTGGGTAGCAGAAAGAACATGGGTTTTGGAATCACACAGATTGATGTTCAAATTGGCATCCCAGCTGTGTGGCTACAGACTTGTAATTGAACTTCCTGTCAGTTATATAGGCTAGCTTACAGAATTAAAGGAGATCAACGAAGTGAAAACTAACCGAGTCCTCAGCACAGACGTGCAAGGCAGCTTCCTCACTCATTTTCTGTAAACCAGCACCTCCTCTGACCCAGTGGTCAGGCCGGCAGAGAAGCCCATCCCATCCTTTCTGGTGTTCTCTTTCCCTCCAAGGTTAGGCTACTCAGCAGGATCTCATGGAGTATGTGGCCCGGGGCAGCAGAAAGGGGGCCCATCAAGTTTCAAGGTTCCCGACCTCCTGAACTTCATATTCTTGTTGAGTGTGGGCTGAAGTTCATGACCTGCTCCTTGTGAGTACAGTAAGGTCAAGGTCATCGGTTGTCATCACCACAATTTGGCTGCAAATGATGGTGGCGTCTGTCTTGCTGGACCCTCCCTAGCACCTTCTTGGCTTGCTCAAGCTGCCGTGGTGGACAGACCCACCAAGGGACCAAGCGTAGTCCCAAAGGCTGGGAGGGAACTGAGGCCTTCAGGCCAACACCCAGGAATGTGGCCTAGAACCACATGCAAAGACTTAGGAAAGGATCCTTCTCCAACGGGGCCTTGAGAGGACTACAGCCCCAGCTGACACCTGGACCATACCCTGTGAAAGACGCAGAAACAGAGGACCCCTCTTAGTCCTGCCCACATTCCTGACCCATGAAAACTGGGAGCTAATAAATGGCGTTTTCAGTCACCAAGTTTTGGGGTAATTTGTTTCGTGGAAATAAAGAGCTAATACCTAGTGCTAACAAATGCTTACTGCTTGAGCTGTCTGTCAGTGCTGACCACTGCCATGGCTCTCTGCTGCTGTAGCGCCTCCCTTAGACTATGCACTCATAAATTCAAGGCTACTGGTCACATCTACCTCTATGCCGGATAGCTATTCTGTTCTGCAGCTGTCCTGGGAGCCCCCAGCACCTTCATCTGTTAGTCAAAGCTGTCTCCTTCCTCTCCTAGACTGTGATCTCTTGTAGAGGAGGAGGGCCAATCCTTTAGACTTCAAGATCTCTGTATCTGTCTGTGTTGCCAAATCTTCTCCAGGGAGCTCACATCAGAATGAGTTTGCTGTTTCTTTAAAGGTCTGGTACATGTTGGATTCTCATTAATGATCCAAATAATCACCCATTTTATGGAGTGTGCGAGGCCGTGTTCTATGCCCTTTTCATCTATCAGCACAGTGAATTGTTATACCCACCTCTTGACAGATGCTGTTACTATCCCCATTTTAAAATTATTTACTTACCAGAGAGAGAGGAGTTCCCATGGGCTGTTTCACTCCCCAAATTTCTATGACTGGAGCTGGGCTGGGCTGAAGCCAGGAGCAGGGAACTCAGTCCAGGTCTCCCATGTGGGTGGCAGGGACCTAACCACTGAGCCATCACGTGCACATTAGCTGGAGGATGGAATCCAGGCTCTTCAATATGAGATGCAGGCCGCCCACGTGTAGCCTAACCAATAGGCCAACTACCCACTCCTGTTAACCCCACTTACAGATGACCAAACTGAGGCACAGAGTTAAATACGTCTTCCAAACACGCCTAGCTGGTTGGCAAGAAGCCAGCAGAGCTGGCTGTAGGGCTCCTGGGTGTGTATCCGTAGAAGCAATAATGACCCTATCAGATACGTATAAACATTTCCTATGAATGAGACACCACACTAAACACTGTATGTACATGGCCTTGTTTAATCCTCACCCAGACCTGGAAAACAAGTTAATGAATATCCACACGTGATATGGAGGGTTAGAGAGTCTGCCCCCATGTCTCAGCGTTGCCAGGAGCCAGAGTGAGAATCCCAACCCTGCAGCTCCTCACGGCTCTGCTCTCTGCAGGCCCACGTGTCTCCCTGTCGTTTCTCAAACACGAGATCCGTGCCAACTTCAAGATCTTCAAGATTGGCTCTGTCTCTGCCAGAGCATCCCTGCAACTGTCACCGCCCTTTCGTCCCCAGCTCCCTCAGCCCTCTCTTTCACGGTCTGGCTACCTCGCCTTCCACTCCATCCCCCACTCTGTCTCTGCTTTATTCTTCTCCTGAGCACTTTCGCCAGGCAACAGAGGTTGCTCAGTTAGAGCACAAACCTTCAACGGGCAGACTCTTGTCACTTCCCCTCATTTCTACAGGGCCTGTATCAAGAATTGTGCTGCCCCTTTAACAGGTCATCAGGTTAATATTTGTAGAATCAACCAATACATGAATGAAAATCCAGGTGAATCTGATTTCAGAATCCTTATTCTGCATGCTATAAACCAGTGTCTGTAAAAGTATGCTCTACATACCATTAACAGATTATGTGTGTGGGTAGGGAAATGGGTGAGCCGTAGACTCATGTACAAAAGGTCCCAGGACAGTTTATATATTTAAACAAAACCAGAGGTTACTATGGATTTTGTGATATAGGGCCTTGGGACCGTGCACAAGGCAAATGGTCTTACCAATTCTCAAAGTTATTTGCCTTGGGAATTTCCAGTCAGAGGATACCTCTAGAGACCTGTGTTCCAGAGTTGTGCTTTGCCAACTGCTATGAAGGGTTGAATGTGCTCCCCAGGCCCCTGCGGGAGTGCAGGATCTGAGGAGCAGAGCAAGGCTGCCTCCACCAGGTGCACTTGGCCACCAGTGCACACACTTTGGAAAACACCAACATAAACGCATGAGCTTGATGATTGGTTGAAAAATACGACGACCAATAAACAAAGCCGCCTGCAGGCTTGCTTGAGTACTTCCTGACCCCCCTTCCTGCCTGGGCTTCTCTCTCCTCTGCTACTTTGTGTCCCCTTTTCTTGCTCATGTGAGAAAATTGGCAGAGGGGCCAGCATTGTGGCAGAGTGGGTAAAGCTGCCGCCTGTGATGCCAGCATCCCGTATGGGTGCCAGTTCGTGTCCCGGCTGCTCCTCTTCTGAACCAGTTCCCTGCTGACGCACCTGGGAAAAGCATCAAAGATGGTCCAAGTGTTTGGGCCCCCACCACCCACGTGGGAGACCTGTAAGAAGCTCCTGGCTCCTGACTTTGACTGGGCCCAGCCTTTGCTGTTGCGGTCATCTGGGGAGTGAACCAGAGGGTGGAACGACTCCCTCTGTGTGTCCGCCCCCCACCCCATAACTCTGACTTTCAAATCAATTCTTTTAAAGCAAGAAACTGGGCAGAAATCAACACCATATCTCCCTCTGCTCCTGAATGCCACCCTTGCTTCATCGCACCTGTCTCCTCTGGGGCTCCAGCTACTGCCTTCTCTTGTCTGGACTTCACACCTGCCTCCTGTCTGCTTGCCACACGCCAGACCAGCCTCTACGCTGCAGCCAGAATGACTTTTCATTATGAATCTCTGATTGTGTCACTCCTCTACATCTTCCCTGGCTTATCACTGCTCCTCTCTCTCTCTTCAAGTTCCAAACCCTCCTCTTGGTCTGCAAGACTCTTCGGGATCCGGCCTGGCCCATTTTCCAGTTTCATCTTTCTCTCACCACACTTGACCTTTCTTCTTGAACTCGACTGTACCTTGATATGAAGATTTCCGAACCGTCTTGCCCCAGTGCTCGCCATTCAATACTGATCAAGGGCAGAATGAGGTCTAGAAATAAGTGCTGTTAGAAATGGGAGTGACGGGGGACACATGATTTCAGCTGGCCCAGGAGTACTCTGAAGCAGGATGATGGCATGTTACAGAGCCCCACACCCTGGGAGGAGGGACTGCTCCTGACTGAGAGCCCCGAGTTTTCTCCCAGGTGTGCAGCTCAGGCTCTACCCCTTGGATAATAAAAGTCTCCTGGGGCTGGCGCTGTGCTGTAGTAGGTTAATCCTCCACCTGCTATGTTGGTATCCCATGTGGGCACCAGTTCTAGTTCTGGCTGCTCCTCTTCCCATCCAGCTCTCTGCTACGGCCTGGGAAAGCAGTGGAAGAAGGCCCAAATCCTTGGGCCCTTGCACCCATGTGGGAGACCCAGAAGAAGCTCCTGGCTCCTGGCTTCGAATCGGCTCGGCTCCAGCCATTGCAGCCATTTGGAGAGTGAACAAGCAGATGGAAGAACTTTCTCTCTGTCTCTTCCTCTCACTGTCTGTAACTCAACCTCTCAAATAAATAAATAAAATTTTTAATAAAAAAATTCTCCTTTCTCCTTTGCTCTCTTTGGCCACCTCTGGTGCCTTCCTTGGGGGACTGAGCAACTCTCCCAACCTACTTTCTTTATTTTAAGATTTATTTTTATTTTTTATTTATTTTGGAAGAGTACAGAGAAAGAGAGGAAGAGAGAGACAGAGAAAGAGATCTTCCATCCGCTGGCTCACTCTTCAGATGGCCACAATGGCCAACACTGGACCAGGCAGAAGGCAGGTCAGGAGCTTCATCTGGATTTCCCACATGGGTGGGAAGGCCCCAAGCACTTGGGACATCTGCTGCTGCTTTTCCCAGGCCATTAGCGGGGAGTTGGATTGGAAGTGGAGCAGTCGGGACATGAACTAGCACCCATGACTGATGACAGCTTTGCAGGTGGCAGCTTTACCCACTACAGCACATGGCTGCCCACACCCACCCCCAACCTACTTTCCTTGTGTGGAAGTTGAAAATGGAAAGATTCCTTGGACTTTGTGTTGTCGGAAGTTCTTTGTACTAACCCATCACCTCTTCGACTATGTATGCACTTTCTCAAGAACGGAGACAA